GCCCTGGATGAAGTACTCGCGCGGGGTAAAAAGACGCTGGACAGCCTAGCGATAACTATATGAATGAAACATGTTTGGTGTGTTGCTTTTGGATGTGTGATCATAAGGTACCTTGTTCTCATATGAATCTTAGCGACTGGAGCAAAGCGGCACTGACAGAGCTCGTTCACAATCCAGCCCGTATACTCAAGGTCGGTCGTACACTTCTCATAGCTCTCCTGAGTCAGCTTGAGCTGGCTGTCCTTCCAGGTAAATGAACACAGCACAGCTGGCATGACGACAGGGGTGGGAAATAGACCGTAGTAACATCAAGCGAAAGAACAGGCTTGGGACGTGGAACAGGCAGGCAGATAAAGCGTTAACGTACAACGGAACTTTGAGGTATTGAGAAACGTGTGGCGTTCTGGGAAAGAAACCCCGGTTTGGGAATGAGCAATAAAATATCGGGGGGATTGGATTTATTATTATTCTTACACCGCTGTGCCCTTGGGCTTGCCGGACCTTCAACAACTTACTATACAGGAAAACCGCGCCCTCGTGGGGCGGGTGAAGGATTGGATTTAAACCGATAGGTTAAATCCACATGGGTGTGCACGCAGTGATGAATTTTGGGTTTTGTCAGAGTTTGAGCAGGGCACCTCCATACATGGATGGAAGGGTGGGCCGAGTAGCCGAACCGTGCATTCCAATCGAGGGGTCCATTCCCAATAAACTCATTCGGAGTCATAATGAATCATATTCGGCCAATCACACAAGGACTCTTACGGAAGAACTCAGGTAACTGAAGCGAGACGCTGCATAGTTAAACGCTTGTACAAAGAAGATAAAATGTTTAAACCCACCCATCGATCATCGCCGCTTACTCCTGAGATTCTTGGTTGTCTCTAATAACCCGAGGTGTAAACGACTCGGGCCCGTTCACTCAACAGCAAACCGAATCGCCGTTAGAATCTCCAACCCCACTCTCGATACAAACACAAATCTTGAAGGTCCGATCATCAACTTCAACATGGAGGAGTCGTCCCCCGCTCCTATTCGCGAACCAGACACTGCGTCGCTAGATTGCCGACTTTGTAGTCTGACATTCCGGACCGTTGAGGAAAAGCGCCAACACGCCAAGAGCGAGTCGCAGTAAGTTTGACTGTGCTGTTTGCGGATTACTCAGCAGCGGAACAGCACGACTAACATTCCTCAAGTGTTCACAGGATCCGCTGCCGAATTGCAGAGGCTGCGGGTAGCGATCCGCAGCTACAGAGCGAGCCAACCAAATCCTCGTCACCGCGGCGGAGACCGACGTCCATACCACGGCAAACCGATTTTGAGAGCTCCGAGGAATCGGCAAGCGACACATCCTCGTCATCCGACAAAGAAGCTGTAAAGTTCGTCGCCGAAGACTGCCTCTTCTGCAACCACACCAGCAGCAACTTCAATGAAAACCTGGCACACATGCAACAAGCGCACAGCCTCACCGTTCCTTTCCAGTCTTTTTTGTCAGTCGACTTGACCACCCTCATCTGGTTCCTCCACATGGTCATTTTCAGTTATCGGGAATGCATCTGCTGTGGGAAACGCCGCCGAACGGTCGAGGCTGTCCAGCACCACATGACATCTCTGGGGCACTGCCGCTTCGATGTAACCGAGGAAATGAGCGGGTTTTATGATATGACTGCTCTGAGTCAACAGACTGCAGACAATTGCAGTCATGTCGATGACCACACCCTTCGACTACCATCTGGCAAGCTCCTCGCCCATCGCGATCACGTCAACTCCGATTCAAGAAACAGGCTACGCGAGAAACCAACCCAGGCAGGGATCCCATCCGGCTTGCCAGGTGCCGCCGCAGCTGCCGAGAACGAAAGCAGCCCTTGGGCGCTCAACCTCACCAAGAGAGATCGAAAAGACCAGGCGTTGACAACACAGCTCGCCCGGTTACGCACCGGCGACCAAATGGGCTTGATGCACTTGCCCGAGTCGCAACGGCGCTCGCTCCTCGCGGCACACAAGAAGGAGCTGGACAAGGCGAAACGTGCGGAGCGGCGGATACAAAGTCGGTTGGACAATGTCGGGAACAATATTGCGGTTCACACCAAGTACTACAAGCAGGAGGTTCCGGTGTATATGGGAGGTTAGGTACAGGTACATTTTGTCCAAGGAACAATGTGTTGGGTCATGGACTTAAAGTGACTACATGCTATGTGTTTTTAGGATTCATGCTTTACCGGAGGTTCGTCATAGCTTGAAACCTGCAGGTGTGGAGTGCGCTTGGTGTCCATCTCTGGCTCATCGAATCATCTACTAGGTAACCATGAGTTGTTGTCGTTCCGGAAGCTCTCCTCTGAGCGAAGTGCTGCACGTGGCCCTGTAGGGTGAAAACAAGGAGCGGTCTTGAAAACCAACTTGGAATATAGGGCAGTTCTCATCGGTTAAAGAAGGAAATCCGAGCAGCTAGTGTTGCCTATAGTACGAATTCAGCAACTTGAACACCAAGCTGGTTGGTTGGTTGGTTGGGTGGTTACGCCTTCACCTCCACTATACGGCAAAGTTACTGGGCTAAGATGGACAAAGTCACCACATCGCTTCATCCAGGCTTCCACGCAACTGCAGTTCCCTGCCATCGTTCTCCAAACAGCGACTTACACTACTTCCATCAGCTGCACTCTCCGTTCTAAGACAAACGTCCCCGCGCGATTTACACTCACTGAAACAAAAAAGAAAAAAGAACAAATGTCGATGACGACAATTGATTCACATTTTGAGGGTTTCGGTCTCGCCAACCCAGGACTTCCGCCCGGCCACATTCTCCAGCTCCCTGACGAGGTGCTGGTTGATATCCTCTTGACAGCCGCGGAATGGCTAAAGAACATTGACGGTGCCGATTTCTACGCTCTCTATGCCGACCGCCGGGTCATGACGCTGGTGTGCCGCCGCTTTCATCGTCTCGCCACCCCTCTGCTCTACTCCCAGCTCGTCGTTGTCCTCGAGAGGATCATCAACCGCGAAAACAATCCGGCCGACTCTGAAGTCCATCGAACTGGTCACATCGGCAAGGCGCTGGGTCTCCTGCACCGCACTCTGAAATCGGACTCCAGTCTTCGAAGCCTCTGCAGGGACTTGGTCGTTGATATGAAGCAAGCCGAGCACCGCCGCAGGCCCAAGCAGGGCTTGTTCAGATTCTTCGATTTGGCTAAGTGGCTTTGCGGCACCGAAAGCCTGCGCATTCACAATGGTTTTGGCAACGGCGAGAGAGGACTCACCTATTCGTTCCTGAGCCTGGCTATGGAGAACTTGCCGCGGCTGAAACGACTGGCCCTGACCTAGACGCAGCAATCATTATACTTCAACGCTCGCACCATATTCACGTCCGAGTGGCATAAGAGGATTGATTATTCAGTTTCCCGAGCTCAGAGAACTGCAGCTGTCTGGCTTGTCTCGGGACGACTCATGGGCGCCGCACTCGGCGCCGGGAATACCGGTCCGTACGCTGTCTACTATGTAATCGGTCTCCGTTACTAAACATAACTATTGGGGGGAAAGGCTGTCTTTTATCGAAATGACCGCTGGCATTAGAGACCGCTGGGGCCTGCACCGGCAGGCGCTCGAGGGGCATGGCGGCTCGGTCAGCGTAGTGGCGTTCTCCACGAATGGTCAATGCCTCGAGATAGACCGAGGGCTGATGAGCGTAGACTCCAACGCTTCAAACAGCTCTGAAGACCAGAAACCCGCCAGCGGTGTTCTTTTCGTCGGCGACGATTGGGTCACAAGAAATAGGAAGAGCATTCTTTGGCTTCCCACCGACTATCGGGCAACATGTGTGGCGGTTTATGGTCATACACTCATCCTAGGATACGTGTTGGAAAGCCAACAGCCACGAATGTGCCGCACCGTAGTAATTGGGTACCAAAAGGATGGGCAACCACTCAATTGATGAT